GACAAAAAACCCCCCAAAAAAAAAAAAAAAAAAAGAAAGGAAAGAAAAAGAGGTCAAGATTTAAAACAAAGAAAGTACAGAAAAATCTTCACCATATCTTGCAAGTACAGAAAAGCCTTCACCATATCTTCCATAGTCAGAAGCCCAGGCTCTGAAGACTTGGGGGTGGAAAGGAAGCTGGATGAGAAAGCCAGGGGCAGGATGATTGCTCTGTCTTTACCAGCAGCTGGTTGGATGGCCACAGGCAAATCACCTAACCTTTGTTATTTAGTTCTCTCATTTATAAAATGAAAGGGTTGAAATACAGATTTTTTAAATTCTTTCTCACTTCCAAAATCTAAGAAATGTTAAGGACGTGGAAACTGAAGAGTGTAACCAGACTCCTACCTTACCTACCTTACCGTATATTTCGTTGCCTTAAAGCAGCCTAGCAGAGACCTTTGCTACTTAATTCCTCCTTAAATATATATATATTTTTTTTTTTCCATCTCTCTCTCACTTTCTCGACCTCCATATGGTGACCATCATTAAAGAAGAAAGAGATTAGGGGTAATGGCATCAGGAACGTTTTCAAAGTGTGTGCATACAGAAACTTCTTAAAGATACCAATGTGTTCTCTTTCTCTCAGGAATAGATATGGATCCTTTTGATGTTTTTGCATCTCAGAAAGTAATTTCATGAGTGTGTTTGGCAATCTGAACATTGAACTATTTCCAAAAAATGGCTTCATCAAAGCTAATGGGTGACTGTAGTCTGGTAGTCAAGAGTTCATTGATGTGTTTCCTGCTCCATTACTCAATAAACATTAAATAAAAATAACAGAAACAATGCTATTAAAGCTACTCTCCGTGAGTTCTTTGAGATGGAAGGAAGTTGGAAGGACGAGGAGAAAAGACATTATGTAGAAAGTTGTAACTCATAAAAAAGATGTGTTTTTCTTGCACAGCCTTAGACTTGCCAAGTAAACTTTGTGTTCTTCATTTGTTTTGTTGTGTGCTTGTTTTCTGTTTATGATAGTGCTCGTACATATGGGGAATGGGAGAAAGAAAGCAAATGAATGAAAATCACCCTCCACAGAGTTTGGTCACACTTGATCCCCTTCCTCCAGTTCTTCAGTCCTCTGAGTTGGGACTTTGTGTTTTGCCTTGAATCTGTGAAGGCTGGTTATCGAGTATCACTCCGACAGTTTGTCAAGGTGGAAGATTCTGCTCTCTTGTAAAGACATGTAATCATATGGAAAATAGTGGCACCGCTGTGCAGGTTAAATTGTTCTTACTTTTTAAAAGAAGATATTAAAAGTTTAAGAGAGTTCAGAGGCAAGTAACGAAGACTACTAAAAAAATTAAAATGGGAAGAAGGAAAGGAATTAGAGATGTTTGATGAATACAAAAAGGGAAAAGTTAATGGCTGACAATTACATCTTATGAAAATGTCAGATTTGTCAACAAATCTAGAAACAATGACAAAAAAAAAACTGCTTTCCTCTAATAAATTTTTAAATTCAGAATTTATTGATTCCCAAAACTCAAATGTGTTTTTTAAGCAAATATCCTTAATAGCCCTCATTATGGTTTTATTAACATTGTCTTCAATTTCTCCATTTGCTCTGGTTCCACAGAAAGCACCTAATCTGATTATTCAGCCTGAGCTCCCTTTTTTAAATATCTCTGTCTCCTTTAATAGCTAATTATGTTTCTTTGCCTACTTGAACCAACCAGCCTGTGGTATCCTTAGCACTACTGCAGTTGAGCTATTAGATTTCCTGGATAGAAATGGATAGTCAAGAAGTAAAGGTGATGAGGATATCCTTTTTCCTTCCAGTAGGCCTACAGCAAAAACTCGGGTCAGGAGGGAGGTCTGTAAGTATCCCTCTGGTACCAAGAGCTCCTGCTACAGTTAGTCCACACAGGGAGCCTCTCTCCTAGCCAGCAAATGTTTTTAGCCCCTGCTCCAGAAAGGTCTCTTGGCTAAGCCAGCTGATTTCCCAAGACATGCAAGCAGATGATGAATGGTGCTTGCCTTACAGCACTGACGGAGAGGCAGGCTTTCTTTGCAGCTCCCTGATTTGGGGAATCATCCTTTCCTGTGTGGTTAATCACCAAGTTCCTGGCTTTGTTGATTGTCCTATGTGGACTATCCACCAAGTTTTCATGTTTCACCACAGTTACCTTTGTGGTTGAGTTATCCATATAAAAAGTAGAAAGATTTAGGCTTCTGAAATCTGTACCCAAGTTATTTCCCAAACTCCCTAGAGCATTCATTTAAACTAAATCTTGAGAAAAGGCAAAGTAAATGTTGTCATTGTTTTAGGGGAGTTCTTGGAACCTCTGATTAATTCACTGATTTCCCTCTCTTTCTCTGATCCACCCACAATTTCACTCACCTCTCTTCATTTTCTAGCACTTGTCCGGTGCCTCTTACTTGTTTATTCAATGAATCATTTTTCAATGCAAAAACCCACCCACAAATCTTTTTCCGTTACCTTACCTGTTTAGCCATTAAGCTGGATAGGAATGTTTACAGGTTTCAAAACATGAGTGTTTCAGTGGAAACGTGTAATAAATACTGATGACTGAACTTTATCCCAGATCAAATGATTCTGATTTTCTTGGAATGGGGTACAAGTATTGGGATTTTTGAGAAAACCTTACCAGATCATTCATTTTTAAATATTTTATTTAAGTTTATTAATCATTATTATTTTTTAATTTGACCTGAAGGGACAGAGAGAGAGGGAAAGTGAGAACGCTAACTGCCTGGTTTGGGACTTGAAATGCAGTCGACGCTGTGGGAGTCCAGCACCTTTAACCACCATGGCACCTGCTGACCCCACCAGATCATTCTAATGTATAGCCATGTTTGAGAACAGCTGACATGAAAGCTTGTTGGTTTCTCCTGGAGACACTATTTTGGGCACTTCACATGAATATTGGTATCCGATATAGCAGCATGGTTCCCCAAGATCCTTACAGAATAAACAATCGATGCTTTAGTAATTTCCAAAAGAGAAAGGTTTTTGTGGGGTGTGTGAAGTCATTAATAAAAGTTTTATGGGGGACAAGAGGTGGTGTGGTGGTTAAAGCACTGGACCCCCACATAGCTGCCTATGATTGGAGTCCCAGACCTGGTGGTTTGAAAATCACTCAAGACACATATGTGTGCATGCCTAAAACCCCAGAAAGAGAATGGAAATGCAGCATGGCCACCTCCCTACCGGGGATGGGGGGGATTTCTCACTTTCTTCCTCTCTGTTTCTCTCCTCTCTGGTGAGCATACATGCCCTATGGTAAAATACGAATGTGTGTGTGTGTGTGTGTGTGTGTGTAGTTTTATGGTATGAGTGGGAACTAATGAAAAGTGTAAAATTATAAGCATAATTGTATTTTGTGAGGAATCTCTATCTAGAAATCTTATATACACAATAATAATAATTACAACTAGCACTTATATAGTGAGTACTATATGCCAATTATTAATATATTGCTTATACTAATTCACTATAAACTAACAATAATACCGAAAAGTAGGTATCATTTTTATTTCCATTTTACACATGAAGAAACTGAAGTACAGAGGTTAAAATACAATAAAGGTCAGAATACATTGAAAAGTCAGAATATTTAAATTGGGATTCCTGGTTCCAGGGTCCTTGCTCTAAATAACTCTAAAATAATAGTATGTCTCCAAGGAAAAATTCCACTGTAGAACTACTTAATACATTGTAATATTTCATGCTGAGTTAAACATCTCATTTTTTTCTATCTCTATCTGTGAGTTCTAATAGTGCCTCCTGAAGACAAAGCTACTTCTTTTAATGAAACACCCTTACATATCTAGGATTAGAGAATGTCCAAGCTGGAAAAGTTCTTGTAAATCAGCCAGTGTTGTCCCTGAATTTATAGACGTATTTTTAATTTAATAGGTCTCCTTATGATTAATCACTTCATCACAGATTAGATTGTCTGGAAGAAGATGTTAAAATTGAGTATGGGGTGAGTTATTTCTTAGGAATACAAATCTATGAAAGCAAAGAGAATGAAGTGGGATTGAATATATTAGTCAAACTGAATTAGAGTTCTAACAAAACTTTGATCAATTCAGTTGGCATTGGCATCTCAGAAACATAAACTTTTTTTTTTGAAGAGGTTTTTGCTATAGGGTGCGTGGACTCGCCAGAGAGACAGAGAGAGACAGAGAGACAGAAAGCGAGAAATCACCGCCTGGGGGGGATGGCCACTCTGCAATCCCTTCTCCTCCATTCTCCTCTCAGGATCCTGGGCACGCATGCACATGCACCCAGCATGAATTTAAGCCACTGGGTCCGGGACACGAACCACAGTCGACTACATGGGTGTACAGCAACATAGCCATTACGCTAACTGCTGGTCCCAACATAAACTTTTTAACAAAATTGCTCTGCACTGAAATGAAATAGTCAGGGTCTTTAGAAATCTTCATTGCTTAGTTATTGTATACGAGATGTTCCAGTGATCTCAAGAAAAACAGCCAATGGCTTCTAAGGCAGATCCTGAAGGAGCTAACACTTGAAGGCAGTCTGTTGCCTATATTCTTTGAAGTTGGCTAGATCTGAAGTAGAAGCCCACTGAAAGACAAATGTGATAGTAAAGGGATACTGTAGATAGAATGATGTCTTGAATAAGAGCAATCAGAATTTTATAAGAGTTAATAGAAAGAAAAGAGAGGAGTAAATATTTGAAATGGTAGTGGTAAAGAATGTTAAAATTGATGAAATGCACCAGTTCTCAAATTCAGAAAATACAATGACTCTCAAGTGAGGCCAATAAACACACCATTAAGTTTGTTATTAGACAAGAAAAAAATAATCAAGTAGCCAGAATAAAAAGCCAGGCTATTCTCAAATAATCCAGAACTAGAAAAACTGTTTTACCAACAGCAATATTGGAACCCTAGAGAGTGGAATCAAAGCATTGAGAGAAAATAACTGTCAAACTATGATTGTATACCCAGCAAAACTATCTTTTAAGAATTAGGAAGAATAGGGGCCAGCAGGTGATGTGGTAGTTAAAGGCACTGGACTCCCACACGGCTGACTGCGGTTCTAGTCCTGGACCTGGTGGCTTGCTTTCTCATTTTCTCTCTTTTTTTCTCTCTCAGTCTGTCCCTCTTTGGACAAATTAAAATAAACAAATAAATACATAAATACATAAATAAATAAAGTTAAATAAAATAATTCTTAAAAAATAATTAAGAAGAATAAAAGATAATTATAATGGGACCAGCAGTTAGTGTAATGGCTATGTCGCTGGACTCCCACGTAGTCAACCGCGGTTGGCGTCCCGGACCCGGTGGCTTGAAACTCATGCCGGGCACATGTGTGTGCATGCCCAAGATCCTGAGAGGAGAATGGAGGAGAAGGGGTTGCAGCATGGCCATCCCCCCTGGGGGGTGATTTCTCACTTTCTGTCTGTCTGTCTGTCTCTGTCTGTCTGGCGAGCACACACGCCCTATAGCAAAAACCTCTACAAAAAAAAAAAAAGATAATTATAGACAAATTAAAGCTTATAACAAAACCCTCATTTAACCCTTTTCCTATATAATACTTTATAACAAAACCCTCATTTAACCCTTTTCCTATATAAAACTTTGTGGGAATTTTTTTTTTTTTTTTTTTTTTTT